ATTGCACGGTTTGTCTCATCCAGGCGTTCGTGCATCGGTTAAACTCGTGACCATACGGTTCGTCTGGCGCAATGTCAACCGTGACGTTCGTAGTTGGGCAGCTGCTTGCCTTCCGTGTCAACGTGCATAAGCATACGAATAGCCCAGTAAGAACATTTCGCACGCCAGACACAGGTTTTCATCACGAGCTCGTAGGTCCTTTGCCGACTTCGAAAGGCTCTGTATATCTATTGACCTGTGTCGATCGATTCACTAGGTGGCCGGAAGCTATTCCCATACCTAAGTGCTCTTCGGAAACGGTAGCGAAAGCTTTTATGGAGCGCTGGGTAGTTCAATACGGCCGTCGCGCCATCGTGACCCCCGATCGAGGGACCGATTTCTCGTCGACTTTTGCCACGTTGCTTAAGGATTTGGGCTGTTGCCACGTTCAGACGACGGCGTATCATCCGGCCTCTAACGGCATGGTGCAGCGTTTTCACCGCCAATTGAAGGCCACGCTATGTGCGTACGCAGATCCTTCGTGATCTGAAACACTTCCCCTCGTCCTTCTAGGCTTAAGAAACACGGTTAAAACTGATTTTGACGCAACACCAGCGTAGCTAGTCTACGGCTGCACGCTGCGGCTGAGCGGACAGATGGTAAAGCCAGCCTCGTCTATTTCCTCTTTTGACTACATAAGTTGCACCGATCGATTGGCCCACCAGATGCGTGAGATGCGTCCTCGGTCGTAGAAGACACTAGTGTACGTGTCCATAGAAGCTGTCTACGTGTTCACACGTCCTTCTTCGGGCAGACGGTGTTTGACAGCCTCTTCAGTCACCGTACATAGGACCTTTCAAAGTGCTACACCGTGCGAGTAAGACAAACACTACTGACCGCGGTGTCGACGCGGTCACCATCGACCGTCTAAACCCCGCCTTTGTGGAAGAAACCACCTCGCCTATTTCGTCTAGTAGTGCTTCGTGCGACGTCGCAACTCACCGCACCAGCTTACAGAATCTTAGTTCAACGAGACCACGGTCCCGGTCTACAAGCTTCAGCCGTTCCGACATCTCCAGAATTTAGCCCACCGCCTCCCACGACCAATCGCCGTGGTCGAGAGGTGCGTAAACCGGTTCGTTTCTCCGACTATGTTCAGTGTAAATACGTTTAGCTTTGTAGATATTGTATATATTTGCTTTGTTTTTGGTCGCCTAACGTTTTGAGAACAAACAAAAATATAAAAACCACCGAAAAACCAAAAAAATTTAAACACGCAGATCATTCGTTCGTTCTTTTTGGCGTTTTCTGCGTATGTTTTTCTATTTTCTCAACTCTCCATGCCCCAACCCTCCCCTTCGATCGACTGGCCCACACGAAGAATACTTTCAGGGACGCTGACGCGAACGCTGGTAGGTTCTCCTCGGGACGGGTGGCGCTTCTTCTTGGGACGATGATCGTCTCCGTGGGCGCGGGGCGGGGTGTGACGGGGGAGCGACCACTCCCAAGCGCACCGTTTGGCAGCAGCGGAGGTTGAGGTCCGGTCGGCCTTTTTCTGGGCTAGCCAGTTTTTTTGTAGTCCGACAACCCCGCTCCAATGGCTCGACGAAATGCAATCAATAAATACCGAATGGCACAGCCGATCCTAATGGTCGACGACATTTATTTCCGAACACGAAAAGATACACTTTTGTATACGAATACCCTTTACGAACTTAGGCCCACGACCATTTTTGATTTCGAAGGCTTCTTCGTTCAGCCTTCTAGGAGGGGAGCTTGACTCTGAAAAACACTGCCAGTGCGTCTTTGCCCAGTTGTGCGTAATTTTTCTCAGCAGTCTGTAACGCATGAGAAGCGAAAGCACTAGGACGAACGGTTTCGCCGTGAAGCATATGCCCTAGGACTGCTCTCACCCGCAAACGGTGGGGCATCACGTTGTAAAACGATAGGCTTGTTTGATCGTAATGTACCAACACTGATGAAGAAGCAAGAAGAACTTCCGCCTTCTCAAATTCTTGTTCCTACCTCTCTTCCCATGATCATTTGGAATATTTTTAACAAGTGGTGTAGTACTGGTATAACGGAAGCAAGGTTGAGTAGTAACCGACGAACGATCGCAACTGTGCTTCGTTACATGGAGGAAGTGTAGAAACAATGGGCTGTAAGTTGTCTTCCGTGAGTGTAAACGATGTTTATGCAGCAGATAAATAAGAAAGTCAACGGAATCAACCATAAAAGCACAATTGTGGAGCGGTTTAATGTTAACCATGTTCAGATACTCTAAGTAACACGTGGTCCAACGTGCGAAGGTACTCTTCTTCTGTGCGACCCGTAATTAGATCATTGAGGTATGTACAATTGTTCAGTATATCACGCACGATGTTGTCAATTACTCTTTGGAAAATAGCCGGGGCTAAATTAATCCCAAAAGGAAGGCTGGTGTGTTCAAATAGGCCTCACTGTGCACTGAACGTAGTAAAATGGCGAGAGGCCTCATCTATTCCCACCTGGGAGTACGCATGGTTCAAATCCAGTTTGGTGAACTTGATCCCGCGAAATAAAGTGGTATACAAATCCTCGATATTTGGTAGTGGATAACGGTCTATGAATGCTCCGCGACTCACTGTTAGTTTGTAATCGCCACAAATCCGTACGCTGCCATCGGATTTAAGCACAGGGACTATTGGTGCCGCCTATTTAGCTTGTTGAACTGGTACAAGTATACCTTCTCGCTGCAGCCGTTTTAACTCTTCTTCGATCTTAGGCCGTAAGGTAGTGTTCTGTTGATTATGCTTATGCTGTTGTTAATGTCCGATGGCTCGACATGCCGATACCCCTATTTTATGGCTCAGGTGTTGCTCTGCTAGCGGAACTGTGCGGTGTCTATCCAACAATAACTCCTAAGCAGCCTATTGAATTCAATATAAGAGGTATAAGGCATCATTACTGACTATTTCTCCCCTTATCTTTTTGTTTGTAATCGCGGAAGGTTTAGCGGCACTCGATCCTTCCAGGGAGGAAGGTGTCCCAAAAGACCACCTAACAAACTCAGCGTGTGAAATGCGTAGTAATAGGACTCAAATCCTTACCTATGTGGCGCGAAGTATACTGAAGCTGGTGGTTTCCCTCTACAGTGTGTCTTACAGTTTTAAGACGCAAGGGATCAGAGCAAGACAAGACTGATAAACTAACCGGTCTAATAATCACAAAAAAGTCAATTAAAATGGTATATCGACACACGTGTCTCGATATAGGAGATAGTACTTGTAGTCTAATCACAGGGAGTTTACTCTTTGTACCAGAAAAGCGCATGCGGACAGTCATGGTTTCAAGCCGCCTAGAGACGGTATAAAGATAGTCTATACTGCAAGGTAAAAATTACGACACAGTTGTGTGACCGCCACGTGTTGAGTACGTTACCCGTAGCTATGAGGAACACAAAGTAAGCAATACTGAGATCTGAAAGCCATGTGCTTAGCAATAAACCATCCGGTGCCGAACAGAACCTTAAGCAGAACTTATGTCGAATGCATGGGGTAAGTAGGCTTATGTTCATCATGGTCTTCGACTCTTCAGTGGATTGCTTTTGAACATTGTGCTGCGACTAGTAAGGTGCACGTATAATTACGACGGTACGGTACAGGTACACGAATAAGCCGTGATTCCATAGCAGAGCCCTAGGAATAGTTTACCACGGTGGTTAGGTAAGAACACAGCCATTTGCATTGAGGAACACAATGCGGCCGTTGCAAAATTTCTCTGCATCTAAATGTTAAGCCTTCGTTTAGTGAAACGCAGCTGTGTTCTTGTTTTCTCGCTATTTTTTCAATATTCTCGCACTTAAGCAACACTGCTTTTATGTTGATATTGTGAGGCGAGTCATGATCCTGTTTTGATGACTCAGCCGGTGTCTTTGCCCAATTTTGCCAAACCAGCTGAGCATAACCAGTCTGTATGCGCCCAACTTAAGGTACTCCGACATTGCATTACCCTTGCGCTTATAATGCGTTTTGGTCGTGCGAGTTGCGTGCCGCGGAGCAAGTTATCCAGCTCTGGCAGTTGACAGCACAATGAAGTGTTGACAATCGAATCTCAACATCTCGTCTTCGGCGTACTTAGGAAGGTCACCTCGCGTTCCGCGAATCTGAGGAAAAAGTGCTTACATCCACGCATTGAAGTGTTGTTTCAAAAGCGCACCGATAAGTTGAAAACTTCAGTGCTAATTGGAAGGCACAAACGACATCGGCTTTCTGCTGGATGCACAATGCAAGGGCTTTGCTATAAAAAGCTTGTCAGTTGGGAAATATAAGTCACGTCATTTCGTTGAGCACACTGTAGCAATCCCTGAGGGCCCCAGAAACTGGTGCCGTGATCCATCCCCCAAGTCAGGTGGCTGGCCTATGCTTTGAGTGGGCATACAAATGAGAAAACTCAAGACATTTAACTGAAAGCGCCTCTGTCCAGTTGGTGTTGGCCTTCGATAAAGCGTAGACATTTGAGCTGCCAACGGTGCGACAGCAATAAACATAGCAAAGAACCCGCAAAATCGCAAATTCTCCAGGGACTTGTCCCGTCATAATGTCAGTGAAAGCGCTCCCCTCCTCATCGTCCAGTCAGTAAACCATACGAGCTTGTAATTTGTGTCTACCGCCACACTTAAAATCCGGTGTCTCACTACCGCTATTCCTCACACAAGGTATAGGTTGTCACAGATTAGTCGAAAAGCAACAGACATATAGGATTGGACAGTAGTGGTCTATCTGTTACGCAAGTACAGTTATTCTTTCACCATCCTATTCGTGCGTAAGATGACGGAGGCTAAGGAAAAGCGCTTATTTTCGGGAAAGGTTATCGCCTTACGGGTTCTGCAACGTTGCACGCGCAAAGACGCATTGATATTGAACGTAGTTCGAAGCTTAGAGTCTAGATTTCCAATCAACAAGTAAACAGAGCACAGCATATAACAATTGGTAAGTGTCAGGCTGCGCTTGGACCTTGCATGAAGGGAAGACACAGTAAGTACCAGTGGAACATCTTCACCACTGACGTGAGAATATAAGCAGATTCAAATTATGAACACCATTGGTTATTATGTTTCGAGTGACTCTGTATGATAATTATTGGACGCATTCTAAAGTGTGAATAAGCCAGTCAGAGTCCAATGTACTGGTTACCATGAGCTGCATCACTGTTGACAAAATTCAAATCAGGACTCTGAGTTCGGGTTACACGAACGCACATGTATTCGTAATTCCCTTTGAAAAGCACAGAAGGACAAAAATGAAAACAACAACAGGTCAGCTGATTTGACGTAGTAGAGCAAGTAACGGATCTTTCAGTGCACACAGGTGACTTGCGCGGTTGTTAATTCATTCTTCCCAGCGGTAATTTTTAGGCTGTTGTATCCACTAATGTAATCCGTGAGGGAATACCTGGACCCGTGCCTAGGTACCTTCCAGGACTTGCTGCTTGTCACGGGAAAGGCGTCATATATTTGACAATGCTCAAACACGCCTCATATGTGGTGTGTGTTCTCCTCGATGAGGAGACATGCACGGCTTCAATGACCGGTATCTTGGGGCGTTAGAAGAAGTAGATGTGGACCAGCTGGAGGAGCGCTTCGTTAGATGTTTCAAAGGCGATGCAGATACACGGGGTCGACTCTCACGATTCGCAGTCTGTTTTAAATGTTTGTGTAATTTGACCACCACTGCATCTTCCCCATGATTGACCCCACCACCATTAGAACTCTCATCACTACTGGTGACTCGATAGTCATCCAACAAAATATTGTTTCCATCGACCGTCCATGATTGTGAACCAAGCCTGAAAACCTGTAAAGAAAGTAGCCAGCTACACCATGTGTCAGAATTAATGATCGTCATCTCAAATAGTTTTTTATACGAGCAAAAGGCACAATATGGAAGCGGTAGAATATTCGTGACGATCTATCTATATAAGTGGGAGTATCCTTTAAGTAAAAGACTGGTGTCTCTATATACCATCTGCACAAGGGTAAAGTGATTGTACAATATCGGCTATCTAACCGTCAGGTAGAAGGCGCATATAAGAGGCGATGTTCAACTACTGCGCGGATGTAGCCACAGAAAGCGTATCGCATGCGCCAGCTGGAAGCACATATTTAGTAGCCTAGTGCAAGCCATCCGTGAGACCTAACGTATTCTTAATATCATGACTCGGTTCAGGTGGTAAGCTGGAATAAAATGTTGCTGCTGCGCGAATCTGCGTAGAGGTAGAGTAGCGAAGTTAACTACAACATACATCAACCCTGTACACGGATATAAAGGATGTTTCCCTACCCCCCGCACGCAGATGGACCCAGTCGGTTGGAGTTCAGCCAATTTCAAAGCAGATATGATGCGCACTTTGCCGTATAAGGTTAAGTTTCTCTTGCATTCGGCTCAAACGATTTCAGTACTTAACAAGTTCCATACCAGAGAACACTGTTTTTCTATTTATACCTGTTTCTATTGAATAAATAGATTCAACAGGCAGTCTAACTCACTGCAACTCACGGAATGTTGCCATGAAGAAAACAGTAATCAGGCAGTTTTGAAGGTACATCAGAAGCAGAACTGATAAACGGCATCTATCCGAAGTACATTCTCGGCTGCTTTTCGTCAAGGAGTCTCGATAGCAAGGAGATCTTGTTTCTACCACGGTTGCCACGCTTGGATGGCGTATTCCAGGTGCAGTCGCACGTAGGCGTTAAGCATTTGTGGGAAAATTGAGGGACCAAAGCGAAGTGGTGATTGCCGGTTCTAGTTTATTGGAGACCCTGGAAGCTATAAGTCAAGACTGATATGAGTGGCGGACATGTATCTATGCGTGTTGCGGTGATTCCCTTTCCCTCCCTTAGTAAAACAAAATGGCAAAAAGTTGCCAGTTATTTTTTCTGGTTATGATCATGATTTCATATTCCGCCATGATGCCAATGGCACAATATCAGTATCAGATTGTGATTAATAACAATAATAATAATATGCACATTCTTCATCGCCACTCTCCCGTACTTCTTAAGGGATATGCTGATTACTTGTCTTAACTTCATGCTGATTTGCACAGACCGCACAGGGAATCGAGCAAAAGTGCTGAGGTTTTAGAGATGCACTAGTACCACAATAGTGCCAAAGGATGGTTCAAACCAATACTGGCCTAATACTTGCAGTTCAGTAAATTTGAAGGTCTCCTAAAGAAATAACTCTTGAAACGACCATGACCCAAAGGAGTTGAGGTGATTCTCTCACATTTGCTTACCTAATTCGAAAAATAAACGAAACGGAGTGGCCTATCTTGCAAGTTTGTTGAATTTATCATAAGACAAGGGAGTCATATCCATAAGGATACAGTTGCTTATGATGTAATTATTATGATCTATGCGTTGATTCACAGCACGAGTAGTTAACTGATAGTAAATTCAAGGCTTCTCCCATGAGTGGAAAGGAGCGCGTTCTAGTAGTGATATACACGAACAGAGAAAGAACTTCTGCGGCAATACAGACGGCTGTACAATTTCACCAGTTTCAAGGAATGATCTATCAGATACCTTTTGCTACTGAGCTACAGTAGAGAGTGCCACACATCGTTTGGACTGCACAGGATCATGTAAGCCATTGATAGATCGCTCCGTAATTGACGATATCGCTCCCTGAATACTCCCAAGCGCTGGGGTCAATGCATGGATTATGCACTGCAATGGAGCACCTTGAAGGTCAGCAATGAGGTTGCTCCACAGTGGTGAGATCGTGCTTTAGATTTCTGCCAGACATAAATTGGGCAATCGAGGTGACGACAAATGTAAGCGCCGAGCAACTACCGGATCCCCAGGCGTCAGGAAGCCCGTCTCAACAACCAGATGTGTTGGTTATCAGGTTTTGATTCTTTTTCGTATCATATATATATATATATATATATATATATATATATATATATCATCGCAAGCTGTGCTACAGACATTGTGCCATCGGAAAAAATCCAGAATAAGAAAACATGGACAGAAAAAGCAAAAAATAATAGGCAAGCTTTTTTCCACTCACAGTTCGAAGATTTTTGTCAGTTTGTTTTATTAAGAGAGGGAAGGGAAATTACGGCAACACGCAGAGATATACGCCCGCCACTGATGTCGGTCTTGAATCATAACTTCCAGGGCCTCCAATCAGTGAAAAGTAAAGTCAAGGCGTAAGAGCATGCTCGGCAGAAAATCGCTGCAGTGAATGTGTTCCGAGTCTGCAAGAGTAGATACCCTGGTGTCGTATGCAAAGTGCATTGTATTTGCAGGTAGTGAGTTTCAGTAGACCCTGAGTTGACCGCTGATGCACTTCATCTATGTCACACTGGAGAAAAGGCTGATCCGCATTCACCTGGATCCTGCGCCAAATCTAGATAACGTTAGCACCGAGTGGAGTATGAAAGTTAACCGGATAAACTCCACTAATTGCTTCACTAGCCTACCCTTTGTGGGCAAAAGGCGAAAGAAGTAGGCTCCTAACGATTACATTCATCAAAATTGACTGGCTGGTTGAGCATAAATCAACTCAGCAAGTATAAGTGAGAGAGATATCGCATACACAAGGGAGCAGTTTTCCACCATATATTTCGTCGGAATTAAGGTAATACGACACAATTACAAAAACACCTTTACTTCTTGCCGCAAATATAATTTACACTGGAACAAATTACAGACAGCGAATAGCAAACACCAAATTTTCGGGATTGGGCAATGTGGAGTTGTTGGTAATGTAATGGAGCGCTGGTGTATAAAGGGTAAAAAAAGCAATGTTTAACAAGTCTCGTGGGATGGAAATTATTGAGAAAATTATGACAAAGAGCATTTTGGTGGGCTCACCATACACATATGTTGGAGAGAGGAGATGCTCGCGTATCAAAAGCATAAATTCATAAACCCATTGGTTGGAATTTTGGAAACAAGCAGTTTGTTATGTAGCTTCCTGGCTAACATGAGTAATAAAATGAAATGGCAAGAGGACAACGCTTCGTTAAGTCGTTTTTGAACTTTTGTTAGATTTGGGGCGGAGACGACATAATTTTGGAGAGCGTTCCACGGCTGACACACTCGAAATTCCCACGGCATGCCAGCCGGTTATACTGTATTGTCAGTTTCAGAGGATGACCTCTAAGATCAGTGTTGCGGTTTAGCTCCAGCAGAGAGCTGCAAGTATGATTGGATTCCTCACGAATGGATGGCGTATTCCACGTGCAGTCGCACGTAGGCGTCAAGCATTTATGGGAAGATTTAGAATTCAAACCGACCGAACGCTCTGTGAAGAAGGCCAAAATGTCAATTGACGGTTTTTGACGCCTTCGCTGTTTGTGTTTGAGCATCCTGTATCCTCTTGTGCCAATACACCCAAGTCAGGTTCCTGAGAAACTTTGTGCAAGGTATGGTCTCCAACCTTGCACACATTCATCGGCTGGTGACGCAAGGAGATCAGCTTGTATATAACTGTGTTCAACTGGAGTAGGTTCCTCGTTGACCATTCATAAATGTAATCCCGGATCGTGATAACTTTAGTCGTTCGCCATATCTTGACACCATCGGCCAAACGCTGAAAGTTGGAAGAGATAACTCTTGTTAAGTCGTTGATAAACACAAGAAAAAGGCGCGGTCCCAGCATCGAGCCCCGTGGAACACCACATTCCACCTCAATCGGCTTGGAGGGTGATCCTCTAAAACGCAGTTGACTCCATTGTTGAAGAAAATCAGCGATCTAGCAAAAGGAAAAGATGCTTGGTTCCTAAGCAGGTTTGTAGTGCATGACCGGTGTCGACGGAAGCCATGCTGCTCCGGTGTCAAGAAGTCGCACTTTTTAAGTAGTTCATTAACGTCAGCGACGATCGTTTCTATCACCTTCGCAAGCACAGGGAAAAGAGTCACTGGGCGGTAGTAAGCAGGGTCTCAAGGGCTAACGCCTTTAACAATTGGGATAATAATGCCATGCTTCCGCACAGTGGGCACTAGCTGTTTATCGAAGTATCTTTGGAAGAACTGTGACAACGGCTCAGCTAGCTTGGTGGCCACAGCCTTCAGTGCTTTTGTGCGGATGTTGTCTGCTCCCGGAGAGCCATAATCGCGCAATGAGAGTAATTTGTTTAGCACATTTATTGGATTGAAAATTATGTGTGTAAGCCTTAGAGTCGGTAATATGCTAGAGGTTATGTGACATGTACAGGCCGCGAGTTCGAAAACTGGGGCGTATTGTAGTCGCAGGGCATTGGCTGCTTCGTCAGTATTTTGCGTCATACCACCTGTTGTGAAATGTAGAGGGATGTCACGTTTTACTTTACGATGAGTGTTGACATGCCTGTACAGTAGTTTGCTGCTTGCCAGAAACCTTTTGGCTGGGCACTGTTGTTAAGTTACTTTGTCCTCACAGGCAAGTGCAATGCAATGGGTGTGATGGGTAAGGAAGTTGCCTCAAGTCGTTGAGTCTGGGTTAACCTTATACACATGCCATGCTGCATCTGTTACTTCCATGCCACTTTCGAGTTTTGCTCCTTAGAATAGACGGCACTTTTGCAGAACGAAGGGGCTTGATTTTTGTTACTCTGTTGAACATGTCACTTAGTCCCAATGAACTCTGACAAACGTTGTCAAAGGGACTGTTGTCCGAAAACGCCTAAGCAAATGCCTCGACAAATTTTTTCAGCAAGTGGTATCGTGTGATTGCAGGAGTTACTTCCGAGTGTTCAGATGGACGCTCAGTATGACAAACATTGCTGAATGTAATTACTACATGGTTGCTGAGACTTAATGGACTCTCTATCAATGAGTTGTCGACCATGAGCTCTTCATTTATGAGCACAAGCTTCAATATGGACGGTTTGTTTACTGTCATGAATCTAGTGGGCGTGGTGACATGGTTGTACAACGGAATATTGGCAATACGTTCACACAACTCTGTTTTGAACTGTTAATCGGGAGATGTCGATACCTCCAGATCGAGTATACTGAAGTCACCGGCGATGAGAATGTGGCTGTACCTAGGGCGTGTTACCCTGTTCAAAGCACGTATCAAGCTGGAATCCATTTCCGGAGTGGACGTTGGGGGGCGGTAAACGAAAGCTACGAAATATGCATCGTTGTGTCTTCGTCGGAGTTGGTAAGATAAGTTTCTGGATCATCCACTATTGCATAGTACAGGTCCCTGCAGTAGTAGAGAAGGACCCAACCTTCTCCGGATGAGTGACATTCCTGCTATCCCAAGCTCAGCAGCAGCCACTTCTTGATGTAAGCAGGTTTCAGAAATGGAAATTAGGTCCTAAGCATTCGGGACCTGACGTACCCGAAACAGTGAAGTGATGCCAGATGCACCAATCAGAAAAATGTAATTTCTCAGGGGTGTAAAGTGTTCGAATGCGTGAAACAAGGTTTTCCGAAAAGTCCGATAAAAACCTGCAAACGAGCTGGAAAAAGACGAAAACAGTAGACGGACAAAAAAAGAAAGTGTTGCGAACTCTCACCTCGACCTGCCCACTCAAGTGAAGTTTCGATCTTGTAATTGCGTTTATTCTCTCTAAGATTTCGTCCTCCTGCAATCAGATTGATGAGACAATCTGTTAGAAAGAAGAATGAATTTAAGATTCAAATAAGCAATGAAAATATGAGTTTGTAGCCGATCATCAAGAGAGTCCTGTTAATTGATCCAGTACAATAGCTGTTGAATCAATAGGCAAGTGTAGTAGGATGTAAATACTAAAGAATATAATGGAACAATGGTTTATGACGAGTAAAAAAGCATAGGCTTAACATGTCCTCTAGGTTGGTAATAGAAGAAATTGCAAATTCTAATACCACATGAGTGGACCAAATAAAATGCGCATCGGTGAAGCGATAGAGTAATGGTATAAAAATTATACGGTTTTGGATTGTGTATTCCACGTGGGGAGGCATCGAACGCCAGACAGAGGATGGATGAATCCAAACTCCTGAATACCTTCCCAAAAAGATCAAAATGATGGTTACCTATCGTTTAAACAGACGCTGACTGTCTGGTACAACCGACGTCGTCCTGCACCAGCACAGCGTGGTCATATTCCTAAGAGCTTGTCTGCAGATCGTGCGCCCCAATTTTGTAGATGTAAGCGCTCGATGGCGGATGCGGACAATGCGGCACTTGTCCAGAATGAATGGCAGTGTGTTCCTCACTGACCAATGCCAGGACTCGAGGTCGCGCTGGAGGACTTTGATCGCCCGACAAACCTTAACCTCGTCCGCGAAAGTTAGAAATTTTGTGGTGATAACTCTCGTTAGATTGTTAATGATAATTAAGCACATGCAAAGCCTAGGTACCGAACGCCGTGATATGCCGCAATCCCCTAGAAACGGGTCGGATATAGATGTACGCACTCTAAACTTTAATCGCCGTTCAGGAAAAAAGTTGTTAATTCATCCCAATACTGGGTCTCGGATGTCATACTGCTGAAGTTTGTGAAGCAGGATATGATTATACAAGTGATCGGACGTTTGAAAATGTCCAAATAGATTACATTGATTCCTGTCTCCACATCGACTGTTTCGGTCCAATTGTCATGTGCTATCAGAAGATTCGTGGTACATGATCGATACTGACGAAACTCGTGCTGCTCCGGCGTGATGATGCTGTAGCTTCCCAGTTAGCCCATCAATCCTTCTTCAATGATCTCTTCCATGACCATGGCGAGCAAAGGGAGAAGCGATACCGAGCGGTGATTGGCGGAATTAGATCGACTTCCTCCCTTGTAAATAGGTTTAATATCTAATTTTAACTTTAACGGAAGTGTATTCTCGTCTAGACAAAACTGAAAGAATCATCATCAAAACACGTTAGCTGAGGGTGAGAAACACATCGCTAATGTGCCGCAATACAAAAAGATATTAAAAACGCTACACTGCAAAAAAGATTCCAAGCAAGTAATATGATGTTAAGTAGTATATTATGCGTTTTGTGTGAGTCCGGATTTGGAGGAAGAATCCAAATGGGGGCCGGCTCTTCGCCGTATCAGCAAGTGTTCATCGTCCTTGGGACCCTAGCCAGACAGTCGGGATGCACCAACCGACGCCAACTTGGAAAGAATCAAGCTAGTGGTTCGGCTAGGTGCATGGCATCGTTTTGGGGTAAATGTTATCCACACCAGGAGAGCTGTGTGTACGCAAGGATAGCAGGTTTTGCAACACCGCTACTGCAGTGAATGTGAGGTTAAAGACAACTAACGGTAGAGTGATACGAGCAGGAATAGCGTTCGGAGCTTGTACCCCTTGGAACGTAGGAAAGTACTGGGTCCGTAGGGCGTTGACCGCCTTTGTCCGTGAGTGTACACCCACCAACCGTAGTGAGCGAAGGGATTCCGCGCTGTACATTACGAAATCTATTAAGCTGTTTGTAAAGAAGTTCGAGGTTCGAACAGAATCGTTTCGCCAGCTCCTGTTGGTGTGTTACCCTGTCCTCGCGAACCACCTGCACCGAATAGTTGTGTTAATCTACTTACTCTGTTCAATTTTCGTAGCTAGGAATGTTTTTGCAAACGCACCATGTCAAACCCTTAACAGCTATATAATTTCGTGTTCGGCTTTAAAAAAAGATTCTAGTTTGATGGGGCGATGAAAAGTCTTCGGTCGGATGCTTTTGCGACTGGTGAGGTGAAACTTATGAGAATGTTTCCCTGCGGTGCAGTAAGGAGTAACCAACTAGAGTTTCCAACGAATGCGGACAACACGTGGCAACGCGTAATAGATTGCAGCTTTCGGGCTCCGCATCGGGATGTTCGGCATAACAAATGTAATCGAATTGTAGGGTCTGGTGGCCGCTTCGATACAGAGGACTGCATCCATTTAGCCCATCAACCATGAGCTCATTGCTGGTGAGTTCTAGATCTAACATAGGCGGTTTAATCACTATTCTGTACCTGGTGGGAACGGTGATCTGATTGTGCACCGGCATGAAGAGATAATTTCGTGCAGATGGGCATTAAACTACCCATTCTCGGTTGCTGGAGTTTCCAGATCATGGATGCTGAAATCTTCTGTAATGAGGAAGTGACTGTATCTCTGACTGATCACAAGATAAAAAGCGGATACTATTCTGTGATCCATTTCCAGAGTAGATTTGGGTGATCGGTGAAGTACGAAGATGGGGCATGTATCGTCGTCTTTCAACCACAGTTGGCACGGAAGGTAATCAGTGATACACATCGAAGAATCATCCATGAGCTCACAACGAAGATTTGTTATGCAGTAAATGATCATTCCCTCCCTTACCCGTTCTGTCGTTCCGAAGAAGTGACATACCAGGTTGAGAGATTTCAGCGTCGGCAATATCACAGCTCAGAACCGTTTCGGCGATCAATATGAGATCTAAAGACTCGGATGCCTGACGGTGACGGAGCTCGACCAAATTACTAATAAGACCTTGTACATTAGTATGAACGCAGATATATATATATATATATATATATATATATATATATATATATTTATATATATATATATATAGCTGACGGCAATCCTGGTCGGATTTGCCCTGTCACTGTGGCCGAGCCACAGGACGCCTGCGCCTACAGAGGGACCATGGGTCGCTTGCGATGCACCACCCACAGCTCCAACCACACACACATATCCAGGGTAAACCCGAAGGAATAAGACCCGGAGGCATGTGGATGGGAGCCACGTTTCAACCAACGGAAAGCCGGCCTACAATCCTTCACAGGCAACACACAAGACACTTGTATTTTGAGGGAATCAAGCGCACACAAGGGCGGTGGCTGGACCGTAGTCCGCTCCACACTGAGTGCATGGAACCACTCTTCGAGCCTAGCACGGCCAGAAGGACCGTGCACCCCGTCCTCTCCAGCAACGACCAACTGTCTCCTGGAGCCAGTATGGACGAAGTAATGAGTAATAGACAGGTAGGCACCTTGTCCACATGCACATCAAGCGCAGCCACACCGGCGATATCAAGCAACAGCCAATCACTCGAAACCACAAGGTGAAATAAAATAAATCGAATAATGCATATACATCCTTGTGCACATTAATTGAAACAAACTACGATTGTGTCTCTTTTCCTATGAAGATCATGTTTTTATACATGAAAGCTGCCGTTTTGCATTTATTTTTTATTTTATTTTGGGAATAGATATTTCATCATTGTCTGCGAATCAGACGATGTAATAACTGCGCATGTCTAGTCGTTACATCACCCAAGATTGCATCATACTTTTATGGTTAGGAAGGTTTTTGTTTTAACTTCTTGTTTTGTGATTCAGTCATTGTTTTAGATGGACGTGACTCCCAGAAGGCGCATGAAGATCGTGACGTTGCACGAACACACAGACAAGATCTACAGGGACATACCAAGAATAGTAGGCGTCAGTCCGGCAACCGTCAGCCGTGTGGTCAAAATGAAAAAGGAAACGGGATGCATTTCGCCAAAACGCAAATGGAAATGTGGTCCTAAGAGGAAAACCACTGCCAGGGATGACGATTACCTAATACGGGAAAGTGTTAAAGAACCTCGAAAGACTAGTGATGCATTAAAACGTGATTTGGGGGAGAAAGGAATAGAAACCAGTTCTTCAACGGTTCGCAGGCGACTCCTGAAAGTTGGTCGGAAAGCCAGACGGCCTGTGAAAAAAAACTGCTGACAAAAGTAATGAAAGTTAAGCGTTACAAATGGGGACTAAAATACAAAAACTGGATAAAAGAAGATTGGAGAAAAGTCCTATTCAGCGATGAAAGCCATTTCTATGTCCATGGTCAGAGAAGTCAGTATGTTCGGAGGTCAGAGGGAGAAAAGGTTCGTTATTCCCACATTGACCACTTTGTGAAACACCCACAAAAGCAGATGTTTTGGGGGTGCTTTAGTTATTACGACGTCGGCGCTTTGCATCCAGTCCAGGGCATGATGCGCTCTCCACAATATATAGAAGTTCTCCAAAGAAGAGCTGTTCCAGAACTCAAAAAACATTTCCTGACGGATCTGGCGTATTTCAACAAGATATGGCCCCGTGCCACACATCAAAAATGGTCAAGACTCTTTTCAATACTAATCAAATAACCATCTTGGACTGGCCTGGGAATTCACCAGATTTAAACCCCATTGAAAATATGTGGTCTATTTGCAAGCAACGCCTTCGTGGCATGGACTGTACGACAAAAGAGAAACATAATCAAGCTTTAATTCAAGTTTGGTACAGGGACCCAAGATGGGATAAAGTTTGTTCAAATTTAGTGGGTTCCATGCCAAACCGTATTAAAATGCTACTCAAAAGTCGAGGAGGTCATGTTGTGTATTGATGTGAGTATATTAGTACAATTCAGTATAACAATTTTGAAAAAAAGGTTTTTCAGTGTTTTCGCAGTTTGTTTCAATTAATGTGCACAAGGATGTAGATACGGTGGCATAACTCTTCGCTAAATTACCATATGAAGTAAGTTGGTTAGTAACGAATCTGCGATAAGTAAAAAAGGTCCATAAGTTACGTAAAAAGGCTACAAAGTTACCGAAGATAAGCGCAATCAGCGTAAGCAAGGTGGCCAGTTAATAGAAGATTAT